TCAAAATCGGGATATTACATTTTGACTTCTGATTTTCCTTTTTTTTCAGTAAGCACAAAAAAATCTCAATTACATATCCTTATTCTCTCTCATAAAAAGTTATGTCCATATTTTGGGAAGTCAGATATATCTGCAAAAATTCTAATGACAACTGGCCAAGTTCAATGTTAAGTTCTAGAAAATCAAAACTACAAGTTTTACTCAAAGACAGCTGCTCTAAACAACAGGACTTATAGGTCAAAGGATAGGACTGTTCCAAAACTCCTGGGGTTTAGTGATGCAATGTGTACTTCTGCCCCTTAACCTAGATAATGCATTTCTCATTTGATAAATATAAACATTTTCTGCTGAACTTCCATGAAGGCCAGGACAAACATTTCAGATAGATGTGTTCATGTGTTCTGAAATGGAAAAAAAAAAAAAAAACAACCCATTTTAAACTGCTAAGTTCCCAAGGAAACTAGTATCTTGACTCTTACAGTCATGTACATGTCAGGAAATGCCAGTAACAACAGGTCATATACTAATGGTTAATTTCTATTTCCACCTAGAAATGCTGAAGCCTGCTCAGTCACACCATTTCTAGCACATTTCTCATGTTGTTTCCTGTGTCACATCCACAATTAGTGTTACCCACACATTACTGTCAAGGCTCTATACCCTCTCAAATGGTCTTTTCCTCTACTAAGGAAACTTCTTAAAGATGGCACCACAACATTCCCAAGTCTGACCAGTAAATTGCAGCATTCCCATGACCATACCAAGAAAAGCACAACAGTGAAACTGAGTTTCTTTTCATCTCTATAGTACCCTGTTTCACAGATATATATTTGAAGCCCATTTCTATACCAGAATCTGTAGAAAATTACTGAGATGCTTAATTGGATTAATCTATTAAACTAGAAAAACAAAAAATGGATATTCATAACTAAACATTTTACCATCTGATTTTTTTAAACAGCTTAGGTAGTAGCTCAGAATGTAGCAGTTTATGCACTAAAATGAGAAGATGAAGTATCTCAATTCACACTTTGAACAGTTAGAAAGACATTCTAACTACACATTAACCTTTCTTTTGACAGCTAAATCTGCCTTAGATTTAAAACCAAGCTAATACCACACTGCTAAAACAGTCACCCTTCACTCCCAAAATTGTAAGAGTGAGCACAGCAATGAGCTGGAGGTTAGAACAGCCCAGCTGCAGGGCTCACAGCCTTGGGGGGCAGTCCTGAGGCAGGGAAAGGGGCTGAACACCTCTCAGGAGCAAGAAGCAGAGGCTCAGGCAGGAACTGCCATAGCCTCAGCCTCATCAGCTGGTGATGTAGTGGGTTTTTTTTGCTTCTCAAGGGAGCCACAGCTGCAGACCTCCAAGGCACACATTCCCACCCCACCCCAGCACTGCTCCTTCCCACTGTGAACCACTGCATGGGGACATACCCAAAACACTTTCGACATGGACAGACCTGTAAAACTAGAGCCATAGTAATTTTTTTACTGGCTTCCCAAAGAAGCCCAAGCATACACAAGGGCTAGGCAAGAGAGGGGAGATCTGCAAGAGTGGCATCTCCAACCTGACTTACCACAGATAGGCTAACCACATATTTAAAGCATCTGTGAACATCTCTCTCACTAAAGGGAAAAACATTCAAAATGAATACTACTGGAAGCTAAAAGATCAACTCAAATCCAGTAGTGCAAATTACAGAGCTCATTCCAGTTGAAGGTTAATGGAAAACTGCTTTCCTTGGCACTTCATGTGCTTATTGTAAATGGCCAATTTCACCATTTCCTCTGTACTGCCCACTTTTTGTTTCTTGTTTGAACTTAAAAAACAGGAAAGTAGTCATGAAGTAACGGGAATTACCAGGGGATCAGAGAAAGCACAGAAAGAGTCAACTTGCTTTTGTGATTAGTATGCAGTTTAACATGTGTTCCTATCACTGCCAGCACACACACAGCTGTCCAACAATGGAAAAACTCCGTGTTCTCATCAGCCACACCGTTCACTGCCATCAAATATTCTGGATGCCAAGAGATTTTCCATCTAGCATTAACCCAGTGCAACAATAGCTCCTGCGAGGCAGAAATCAGACTTTTAGGACTTTTTTAACTTGGAAGCGTTTTGGTAAAGGTAGGTAGCTAAGCATAGACACTCTCTCCACCCTCCCTAAAGAAACACCAACAGATCAAGTGGAAAGGTTTTATCAGAAACAGCTGTTACTATTGACAGCTCCAAGGTAACTCTTGCAACAAACAGGTTTGAGCTCAGGGTTTTTTGACATTCCTGCTCAGCTAGAAACATCAGAGCAGCATTGCTCAATCCCATTTAACCCTTTGACAGCAGCCTCTCAACCTCACTCCAGGGCTAGCTAGCTGCAGTTTTGACTGAAGTCATTGCCAGCAAGTCCTGATTTTGTTCACAGCTAAATTCCACTTCAAATGAACTCTCAAGAAACAACTTTAATCTTTTGTGCAGAAGTACATTGGGAACTCTTGGGGAAAAAAAGAAAAGAAAAACAACATGACAATAAAACCAAACAAATCTAACAGCCAAATTGTATCCCAGTCACTTCAGCTTTGGAGGTAAAGCAGGAGAAGGTGCAGCAGATTTTGCCAAGAGGCTCAAGCTGGGATGCCCAGCCTTGAAGTGACCCAAGTGCTCATTCCAGTACTTTACTTCATTTGGCCAGGCAGCCTGTCCTTCACCCCATCTCACCCTCACACTGGCTCTGACCAATTGTTAGGACAACCCACGTCACCACCTGGCAAAGAAATGCTCCTTGGCTGGTTTAGCTTTCTGGTAGTGGCAGGCTGAATTGTCTTTCTGTAAGGACAGAGCAGCACCAGAGGAGCCCAGAGCAGGCCCTCCCTCTGGTCCCAGCAAGCTGTTTCTTAGGCTGCATCAAGTCACTTCACACTTGCTCCAGTGGGAAGAATGTTCCTCAGCTTTGTTCCGCATGTAATCACCTAAGTATGGTTTTTAATATTTTTTAAAAGACAGAGAAGCTGAGGCTACTTTCATTTGGCTCTGCAGTAGTTAAGCTATGAAAACCTACCTCGTGAGTTAAAGCCTAACTTGAAGTTTTTCCCTGAGTTTATCCAGAGTTTGAAAACTACATCAAAGGGTTCCCCAAGTGATACTTCAGACAAATAATCATATGGGCAGCCAAGATTGTTAGCCATGCCAGACTCCACCCCTCACCCTAAAGGAAAAAACTTGAACGAAACTAAAACTACTCTTCACAGTGTTCCCTTGAACAGTGAGATGCTTCAGGATGTTTCCCACAGCCAACAAGTAGTGTTTATTCCTTACAGCACCAGAGCAGAATCCTTCTCATCCCTATGGTACTGCCACAAGAGTAAAGCAATAAGTCTTCAGCAAGTATCTGTCTTACCCCAGGAAAGGAGAGAGCAACCTCAAAATCAATAACTGGTATGAAAATACATCAGTGTGTCATATCTAGCTCAATTTCATATGCTCAAACTTAACTGTTCAAGATCACTGATTTTATATAATTTCACAGAAATATTTTTTTCTTTCCATCTGCAAAAGACTAACAAAGAGGAATAAGGAGCAAAATCATCCTTCTTCCATGCAGTTCTCTTCTCCATCCTTCAAAATCACTTTTCCCTTAATTAAACCCCTGAATATTCTTAAGAAATCCTCACATTTAGGCTAGGGCAACCTGTAAAATAGCCTAGAAGGAGCAAATTAGTATTTGGGCTGCTTCTTACTAAACATGATATTTATAAAGTATTTGCAAGTTTTAAAATATTGCAATAAAAAATACTGGAGTGAAGAAACTAGGCCAAGACATTTAATTGTAAGAGTTACTGAAAAAGTAGTGTGTTTATTCTACCGTAATTAGAAGATTGCGCAGAAGTTTAGCGGTGAGAATTTCACTTAAAATTTCACAATATCATGTTAGATGACAGGCATCCAAAAATCCTGTATCAAATTGCTTTGAAGATCTCAAACTAGTTCCTTAGGCAGAGAAAGGTGTTTCAACCAAGAGTTTAAAAAAACCCAACCAAACCAATCCCAGAAAACTGGCTAAGGTCCACTGCTCTTAGAATTGAACCAGACTAAGAGATAAATGCAGTATTTTTAGATTAAATGAAAGCAAGCAGAAATTATCCCATGAGAATGTTACATTTCTGCTAGAATACTAAGACAATTTAGTGGTTTTTTTCTTTACCAGCCTATAAAACCACCATATAGCAGAAGAGTTGAAATGAAATTGATACCAATCTTAGAACATTAGTTATAAATGTAAGATAAATGGCTATTAAAGCCTGAATCAGCTGTGCAATATAAACTCATAACTGTTATAATTTCCTCACATTTCTCTTTTCTCAAAAGTTTTCAAAGCAGATCAACAGTTTCTAGTGTAGTACCAAACTGATTTAAGTCATTAAATATTTCAAATAGATTAGAAAAATTAAGATTAATCCAAATCTGATTCATTCCACTCCATAATTCCAGATGCACTTCTGTATTTTTATTAGTAATTTTAAGCCATCATCAACAGTGCAGGATTCAAAACTGTAACAACTCAGACTTTATTCTGAGTAGCTCAAAAACATACCCACCCCTTAAGTTCTCTTCCATCCAATGTCAAATAACAAAGCAAAGCCATGTAGATTATCTGCTGAAACTAGTCTTTCCTACAAGGGCAGAACTTGAAGTGCATCCTTGGAAAGCTACTCAGCCCTGAAGGACTCTCTGACTACATTTAAAAACTCTTTTAAAGAGCACGTGAAGCATGCAGAGGCTACAATGCCCAGTCATGGGTTTGATTCTTTATCTAGCCAACTGATGCTAAAAAGTATATATATATATATATATATATATCTATATATAAAAATATATACAGGAAAACAGAAACTACTGGAATGGAAACACCAAATTTAGTATCAGTATATGAGTATTTTCTGAAGCCCTTGCTGAGAAGAGTTCAAGCAATTAAAGCCAAAATTGATGAGCTGTGAATTTTTACCTCAGACTGCAGGTGCTGGATGACAACTGTTAATGCTTCAAACTTCTGGTTACTGGACGTCAGGAATTTTTTCAGCTGCAGGATGATTCCACTTTGGGTCTCACATTTTGTTTTGTACTGTATCAACTCGGCTGTTTTAGTGCCAGTTGAACATGCATCTGTGGAAGCTTGAGTCCGTATGCACGAGCTCTTGATACTCCGCTGCTTGCCCTTGTCAACTAAGAAAACAACAATAACAATGAATCAATATGCATTTCATGCTGAAATCTCACTAAAATGTAAAGGATGGGTGCAAACAAATTTATAAATTCCTACAAGCGCTTGCTGAAATACTAACTAGGAGAAAGGGTTATTTCAATAGCATTAAGAGCAGGTACTATCAATTTGATTCCTAACACCATAACCTTGGATACAGTGTCTTGTACTTCATCCTCACCTTCTTGTGTTCTGTTGCATACTTATCAGCATACCCTTCACACTGGGCTTTGAAAAAATACTTTTATAAAATGCAAGATCTCTGTCCTCCTATTTATTCAGTAACTTGTTTCTAACATAAGAGGTGTCCTCTTTTGTCTGCAAAATGGAATTTGTATTTCCTGCACTCTAAAGTACCCCTGAATACAAAACCATTTTCTCTACATTTCCTTTGTTATTTTTCTTCCTTTTAAAACTTTAATTGTAAAAACTCCCCTCTCTGCAGCTGAGGCCTGAGCTTTACCAGCTGGAGGTCTTGCAGCATTTCTTAATGCTAGCAATTTTCAGTCACAAGGATAAGACTTTAAGAAAGCTCTAAAATGTAATATATTTCAATATATGTTCACAGTCCTGAAATTACATTATTGATTTAATATTCTTAATTTTGTGACAACCTCAATGCTTTCACAGTATACAATCACCTCACATGAGAGAAAACCGTATTACATAAATCAGCACTTGACTTGTTAACACTGTATTTTGAGGTTTCTCTGCTACCTTCAGACTGGAAAGGGAGTACAGTACTGCTGTGCAGATAAGGCCAGTTTTACCCCCTTGATCACAAAGGGAATGAGCAAACAATTTTGCAATAAAAGGCTGATGCAATAGATAAATATCCCTTGGCAATTTAATGAAGACATCTAAGCAGATTACTTTGTACAGTTTCAATTTAACAAGATTTCTTCATGATAGAGTGAAAAAACCTGAGAAGTGAGATCTGGATAAAAGAAAGATAGGAACCTGCAAAAAAAAAAAAATAGGGGACAAACTAAGCAACAAGACTCATTCTTTTCTGAATCCCAAGCACCTGGGTTTGAAGGTTGTCAAATGACTCTAGAATCATCCCAGCAGTGTAAGGTTCAATCTCACAACTAGAGAAAGTATTAAGAACAAAAGCTTTGATTCTTAGTTAATGTTAGTCTGACTGACATATCAGCTATTGTATTAATACGTCAGTCTTCCACAGCCTGCATTTGTTTTTAAAGTCTTTGAATAGTTTTCCTGTTCAAAATACTAACACCTTCTATGCCTTCCTTACTGAGCCTGGTATAAAGTGCCTCCTGAGCCTATTAATTTTCCAGATAAATCTGCTCTGGGCAAGATTTTCTGCTAGTGAGAGAATTGTCAGCATATTGTGCTTTATAATGTTCAAATGCTCTTGTGTTCTTGGAGATTTCCCTACACTTCCGCTCAGAGATGCAGACTGTTAAAGACTGTTAAAGTTAGAAACATACCAATGTGCAGTTTAATATTAGAGCTATTAAAACCCAAATCAAAATACAAACCTTTAGGACAAAAGCATCGAGCTTGGCTGCCAGTTCTAGTTATTTTTACCACTATTTGACTAACATGACCACTTCTCACTTTTCTCAAAAAGTCTTTTGAATAGACACTTTTACACAAATGCCAGTTCACGTCTGAGAGCAACTGTGTCAAATTTCCAGCAATCTTATGGATAATACTGTGTGTAGGAATTACTGGTTACCTTCTGAAGCTCCTTCAAAAATCACAACAAATAATAATCAAGAAGAGAGGGAGAAAAAAGAGCAGGGACTAGCAAATAAACATGTAGACTCATTCTTCCCTTCCCTACTGCCTTACATACTCCTACTCTCTCTTCCTGAATGCTCCACTAATGACAAATAGAGAACTAGAGCATTATTCTTGATGTAAGAGTATTGGGTAAATTCACTGATACAGATGCTAGCATCATAATTGAATTAAATATTTGAAACTAGTGTTACAACCATCTCTAGGACACTGACAGAGCTGTGTTAAATCTGAACAATTGCAGACAATTTTTACTCTGGGAAAAAATTACATCAAACAGTTAGTTACCTAATGAAGAAGTTTCATTTAAATACAGTGATACAACAGCTAACTACAAATGACAAAAGGCTCCAAATACCCATTGTTTCCACAGTTCAGCCAGCCCTTATCACTGTCAGTTTCATACCACTGCTTTTATCCTGCTGCCCAGACCACCAAGTATTTTCCAAGAAGCTCAATCAAGCATCTAACCAAGCCAGCCCTCGATATTATACTAAAAAAAGCTGAACAAAAAACATGCATGAAGTGAAACAGTGACATTCCTGTTGGCAATTTTATCATAGACATGTGCTATACACAGCCACTTCAAATGCTGAAAAGCATGAGCCCTCTGTAGCATGAACTGCCTCTACAGATTAACACCACTGACACTATGGTGTTTATTTATGGCCTACGTACCTCTGGGCAATGACAGATCGTTTCCAGATTTGTATAGAAGGCATGCTGTGGTGTCAAAACAAAAGCCATGCTTTCATTAAGACAAAAGCATCATGAGTCTCATTACTGATACCACCACATCAATGACAGAGTCTAATTTAAAGACAGGATTGGTTAACAGCCCAAGTCCTTGTCACTTGGACCTGCTCACCTGCCACCTCTATACAGTCACACTTGTAAGGCAGAACAATTGCCACCTTTAAATGAGGTTCTGGACTCCTCTCCAGCAGGCTCAAAACCACGTTTGCCCAATGTAGTTGGAAAGCTTGGTTTTGGAAGACGGAAAATCAGATTTTCAAGTACTGCATGTAATACAGTAACTGGACAGAATCACCATCTAAAGTCGTATTCTTCTTCACACCAGTAAAGAAAAGGGAAAAAAAAAACCAACAGTGATTTTGCAAGACTAAGCCTTCATTGAATCATTCACAGAAGATTTGATTTGGATCTTGGAAAAGCTCCACAAATTCTCACACTCCTCCCACAGCCATTATATGGATGGCACAGCAGCTGACTCTAGTTCACTGGGGAGAGCATTAGACAAAAGGCTCCACTCCAAGCTTCTCCGTGAGGCAAACTGTTTCTCATGCATAGCTTCTCTAGTTAATAGCTGTTCAGAAGCAAGAAATACACAACTGTCAGTACACAGGGCGTGTTCCATAAAGTTACATTTAGGTGCTAGGGTTCTGCCCAGTACTTGACACAAGTGTTTGTCTGCCTGTCTACCTCAGAGCTTGCACTGTGCCACTGGTTTCCTGAGCCTCCCTATCTTGTGCATTATTGCTGGATTACCAGAAAAATTTCTGACATTTTTAGTTTGCAGAACCAAATCAAAGCCTTCCTTTGCATATCATGTACTAGGAAGGTATGTGTAGTAGTATCTACACTAACTAGAAATTCTTTTAAGCAAGACATTCAATTTCTACAAACCATTACATTTCTTAAAAGCATTCAAAATAGAAGAAACAAATTTCTTGACAAGCACAAATAGAAGCAACCTCACTCCTCTCGCCACACTTACAGTCACAATTGTCTTACCCCCAAGCACCTTCTTTTCACATTCATCATCCAAACTGTTAGCTTCCACAGGTCTTTCAAAACCCACGTGCGTCTGGTGTAAGCATTTTTCAAAGAAAAATCCTTGCTCAACATTTTCTCTCATGGGAAGATGTAAGCTGGTAAAAAATTTCTGCTTCTCCTCCATTTTCTGGAAAGCTTTGTCTACACATGTTAAATTGGTGCTCACTTCTTTGATCAGTAAGTACAGATCAGCCTGACTATTTAATCGAGCTTCCATTTCTTCTCTTACTCGCTGGATTTCCTCAAGCACAGTTCTTATATCCAAGTGACTGGACTTCACCTCTGCTTTGATATCTTCTTTCACCTGTTGCTGGCTCCTCTGTAATGCTAACATTGTTCTGATTTCCTTCTGAGATGTTTCCACATCATGCTTTAGTGCCTTCTGCCCAGCCTGCATTGCCTCCTGGCTAGCTTTCACTTCTGCCAACAGAGCAGTGATGCACTCCATCCTGATCCCACAGGAGTCGCAGGACCTCTTCCAGTGTCACAGCTTCCACGCAGTTAGGGACATCTGTGAGACAGTATCAGATTTCCTCTGATGGCAAGTGAGCTAGCACACAGCCCTTGGGATGGTATCCTACCACAATTTCACCCTGCAGTGAAAGCACTTGCTAAAAGTCTCGTACAAGGTGAGCCAAAGGCACTACATGAAAGACTTCAACAAGCAGGGCTGCAGTCAGAGCTCCTTCTCAAGACTCAGCCAGAGCACTAATCAGTTTAATTGGCAGATTATGCCACACCTGAATTTTTTAAAATCTTTGCTGACATCATTGTACGTGGGACGTCACCCCAAAAGCCACTCCCAACAGTCATTTGATCTGTGCATTAACCAAAGTATGCCTGGGCATCAGTAACCAGTTCTGTTGCAACGCAGCCAAACACTCTGCAAGAACACAGTGGCCCTTCCTTTGCGACACAAAAGCTCAAAGGAAGCCTGAATTGCCTGCAGGAGCTGAAAGCCAAACACTTCAACAGTGTGTAGTTATTTCAATTGTATATTCAACAAGCTGATTATGCACCTGTCCTGCTAATATGAGGTTCAGGTATACATCTGTGGACACATTTGATAATGCCCTACTCTCACTGAGTGCTCCCTTTATTCACACCGCAAGCAATACCCTTCTGGCAATCTCTGGAAGAACATAGTTCCTGAGGAAACCCTCTAATCCACAAACAATAAAGGCTTATCACAGCAATACAGGAATATTGACTAATGATATATTTTTGCCATGTTAAGGAGGCCACGGTAGCCTGGTTTAGCTACCAAGTGTTAGCTCTTCTCTGGAAAAGCTAAGGCTTCTTATTTTTAAGCACAAAACTCTTAATAGGTCTAAGCTCCATGTGAATACAGGTAGATTAATGGCACCAGGCTGTTAGCTGTTGTGTTATACAGCAG